AGCGGCGTGCTTCCAACTCGCGTTCGCTTGCGCGTACTTATCTACGAGGCCGAGGTGAAGGTAAATGGTGGAAATGTAACGTGATTTGAGTGTGCACGGCACTACGCGACCTGCTACGCTGTGTTTTCCGCAATAAAAGCCCGAGAAATATATCGCATACACCACTGAGATTTGTATGAGCGCAAATGGCTCGCGTCGCGCCCAGATCGTCGGGCGCAACATTATTTGTTTCGAATATTTGGCCCGAAACATGAGCGGTGTCATTAATCTATTACAGTGCTTCGTAATACAATTACGAAAATATTTTGCGCGACATAATTGTAAGCAAATTTCATATCCATCCTCCAAAAATGTGTTGTTTGTCAAAACTGGCACTTTTACATTCGAATCGGTTTTATTAGCGGTGAATCTTAATCCCTTCATCTCTGTCCCATTTCTATTCGTCACTGTAACTTTTATAAACTATTTTCCATAATTGACTATTTTAAAAATAGAACGTATTAAATTTGAAACTGAAATACACTTCTGTATTTGGAAATAATTAAATAATTATAGCGTGGAAAAGGAGAAAATTTTTACGATAAAATATAACATTTTGAAAAATTATTCTATTTACAAAACTACTGGAATAGTATTTTAAATTATTTCTGTATTATTTTAATCTTAGAAAAATAGAAATTGTAATTCGGGACATTTTATTAAGAGGCTATAAAGTCACACGTACACACGCGCAATTATATAAAATCTTTTTGTTTAAGAGACATTTTACCAGAAAGTTGAAACTGAAAAAGGATAATCCCTGTGTTCGCGATAAGAAGCTTACCGCGATTGGCATTGTGAAAAATCTTTTTCAAGTTTCGAAGACTCTCGTATGTGGCATTCCGTCGCGTGAGATACGCGCGAAAACATTTATAAAAGACGGCAGTTTACGCTATCGTTCAAGAAACCCACGCTGATCGAAAGATTCATCCTGCCGTTGAACAGTAACAGAAAACACTGAAGAATGAAATTGAAAAATAGAGTCTTAACTGAATCCAACTATCTGTTACCCATCCCAGTACACCGTGTTAAGAAAAAAGGTTGACTACCCTATCTGCTGAGGGTGGAGCGGTGAGAGGAGGGCGAAGACACGAATTGGTTAGAAACTCCGATTCGATTTCGCCTCCGTTTCATCTTTTCTCACGCTAGTTTCTACAACTGAACGGGAACGCCGTACGAGGATGTCGAAACGACAGCATTTAAGACTATTTTTGACACCCAAGCCTTATCCCTTCGGAAGTTTTGAAAGTTTCGGCATATATCACTTGAGGGATGTAATGCAATTTCATCCATTTTTAGGCAAATTATTTGAATAATAAATAAGCTAGACTAATCTAAGTAGAAAGAAGGAACAACTGAAGAGAAAGAAATTTAAGGGAGATTAAGATCTCCCTCATTTTTATTCTATTTATTTCTATCTACGTCATTTCCCTTGTAATTAGAGGCTTCTTGTCATGCTCCTTCACATCCAAACTGCTGAGACTAATTGAGATTAATACATAAAGATAATGCGATGAATTAGACGCATTATCTTTGGCGTAAATTAAATAAACGGATGATTAAGAAAAAGTATGGTAGTAATATATGTATACTGCGTATGAAAGATGCATTTAGCTTTAAAATTAATTTTGATTTTGAAATTGGGTCTTTCATTTAGATGGGATATGACATTTTTTTCCGAATGAAACGTGACAAAGCAAAGTGCAAGATGCAATCTATAATATTCTATTCGAAATTATTGGATCTTGTCGCGTTTCATTGGCGTTTTTTTGCAATCGCGAGGAGCGCAGTTATTCACAGTTCGACGCTATCGAGTTGCGCAGTACCGTACAATCAAATTCCGGTTATTTACGGAGCACGCAAAGTACATGGTATACACACGCAGGCATGAAAAGAGGTCAAAAAAATCCCCTGGTGCAGTCTTTCCCAATAATTCCTTGTTGACGCAAGAAGCAATCATCTGCATCATGTTGCGAATATTAAATCCGCAATTTTGCACATTCCGAGATCAGGCAATTTCTCTTACAAAGTACGCTATATTCCAAAATGCAAACAGGAGCAAAATTTGATTGATTGAAAGTACGCTTGATATATTTTATAATTTATACTACTTTATTATTGAATTAATTTTCAATTATTAATAATCTTAAATATTTGCATATTAAAACTCGATTTCCTCTTTTCCCATATCTCGATTTGCTTTTAAAAAACTGTTATATAATTTATTTTATCTAGTTGTTATCATAAAAAATACTGATCTATATTAAACTAAATTATTGCAATGATATGGACAACAGTTCGAATTCTCAAAAAGCATTCTTGACAAATTTTGTTAATAATAAAATAATAGATGACATTGCTCGGCAGGATTGGATTTTATATTCTATAATTTTTTATTTTTATTTATTTATTTATTTTTTTTAATTAAATTTATATATATATATAAATTTGGGACAATTACAAATTTTGTTAAACTTTTGCTCAAAATTAATTATCAATTAAATTAATTATCAATTAAATCAATGTAAATCCAGTTGATTTTGATATACAATATATGATCTAGAATATAGAGACTCATTAAATTATTTAAAATGAACAATCATGATGGAGTCCAATCACGGTTCACGGTCCCGAAGCGTACGACTCAAGGACATTTAATTTCACGGGTTCCCGTTATACTCGTGATTTCCCGGGTGATGCAGACAAAGAAAAAAAAATCACGCAGAAAATCAGTGCGGGTTAACCGAGTAACGTAAATAACGTCTACATCATAAAATTTAAATTTGAATAACAAATAATGTCGTTCGTATCTTACTCATTACAATATCAAAGACGATCATTAGCTCGAATTTCTTCTCGATTCTTTCTCTTCATCTAAAATAATAAAATACCGAGGAACAAAAGGCATTCCGATATAAAACTTTATTGTTAATAAAATTCATCAAAAATGCTTTCTGGAAATTCGAATTGTTGTCTGTCACTGCAATGATTTAATTTAATATATATTGTAGATTAGTATTTCTTTGTGATAACAATTGCTGGATTATTCGATAAATTATCAGAATATCCAATATTTGGAAAATTACCAAATTATTTTGTAAATTGATAATATTAACTGTGACAGAGAAAATGATATTGAAAATGTTATTGACTATCAAGAAATACAAAACTAGCAGAAGCTTATTTATTTATAGAAAATTCCTAATGACTCAAAGAATAATATTTACAATTGTCTTTTAATGAATGAGAATTTCAGATATGTACACATTACAAGGCGCGCACACACACACACACACACACACACACACACACACACACATTTATAATATAAATAACAATATAATATAAACAAATTTTCATACATTAAGGATAATTCTTATATCTTACAATATCAAACTCTTTATTATATTATTTTTACAATGAAATTTTTAATCGATTCATCTATAAATTATCGCTCCAGCATACGAAATTATATTATACCCATCGAAGTCATATGGTCCGTCCACGATTACTCGGAGGACGAGAGTGGATGGAGATTAATTCCAGCGCTAATTTAGTGGCAGGTAGTAAATGCTCCGGTTGAAGTATCCTCTCGGGTAAGCTGCGCCTAGACTCATAGAGCCGCAAATGAAACTCCACGCAGTTATCTCATTTTCTTCTTCTCTTTCTGGTAGGAAGTCCCTTCTCATCTTAGAGGCGTAAAAAAGTGTTAGCCGAGCCATAACAAAATTTCCGGCAAAATTATACCATCCCCGGAACAATTTGATGCATTCGCATCAGATGCATTTCAATTCAACGCGACAGTTGCGAAATAAGAAATTTTGCAATAAATAATAGATATAGAATAATAAATAATAGATATAGTAATTTGATTTTCTCTGAATCTGATATGTAAAAGTTGCCTTGCAAAGAAAATTTACTTTGCAAATATTTTATATAATTAACAAAAATTTATCATAAATATTATAATATGAATATAATGAATAAAATGAATATAATAAATAAATTTACATACATACAACAATACAGATAAAAAAGATTTCTCAATCATTTTACAAAATTTTTTGTCTAGTCATATATTCTGTTAATTTTATGTATTTGTTTGTATATCTTCAATTTATAAGTTTATTAAATTAAAAATGATATAATTAATTAATGAGGCTTGTAATTGTCAATTTAATAAAACAAAGAAATACTAATATTTAAAAAGAGATAATTAAATAAATTTAATGGATGAAATAATTTAAAAACTTAATTAAATATTTAATTAATATTAAAAACGTAAAATAAATTTAACTTAAATTCATATTAAATTAAATTGTTATTAAATTGTTATTGTATACATTGATTTAACACAAAATAAAAATAGAAATTTACTAAGTTTGAAGAAGAAATGAAGAATTAATGTTGAATTTAAATGAAATAAAACCTAAATTTTTAAATGAAATTAAATTGTTGTGTGAATATGCATCGATTTCACATAATGATTTTGAAATTGTAATAATTTGCTAATATTAGTCTTTCATGTTTATGCATTTAATTTATGCATTTTTAAGAATTTTTAAGATATTCATCATCCATTTTTACATTTAAGATCATTTTAAACACTGTTTCAAAATTCTATACGACCATTTTATTGGCTGAGCAGGATTTAAAACGACTCGACTTGAGATTTTTCCTTTTTCATTTTATCCGAATATTCATGTGCATCTGATTTGTTTATTGTTTTTAGATGTGCGACAGATACATAAAAAACTAAACACACAATTAAAAGATCAACGATGAATTATCGAGAATAAGAATATTTCAGAGATACTATATTATCCGCGAGTACTGACTCGCGGCTATGCAATTGGACGTACCAAGATCAGATGACGCTGTCGTCGATCAGGCGACGCCCATCTTTCTATCTCCCCTATTCCCCGATTGTTCCGAGCCAACGAGCGGTCGGGGCGCGCCATGTTTGCGGGCAGCGTTGTAGGTGGTGTTGTGCGTGGCGCTGAGTGCGCGTGGGGTATAGAGTATACGTGTTGTGTCCGCTAATTTTTCCCGTGTGCGGTACTGCTCGGCCCGTTTATTTACGTAGCGTCGCGACGCGTGCGGATATCGGAGCGTGTGCCAGCGGTCGTCGACGACGTCGGGAAGCGCGGTAACGCGCGGGGATAACGCGCGATAATCCGCCGCCACGCCGTTAACAAGCCGCGCATCTCGAGAATTCTCAGACGCAAGGGCGACTCACACACGGCTAAATGCGCCTCCCATTCCCGTGGAGGTTGTTGTTTACGGGCAGGCCCGCGCCGTCGGACGGACGTGCGGTGCGCGACTTCTCTTAGGTGCGCGACGTGTCCTTCCCCCCTTCTCCTCCGCGCCGTCACAACAGTGCGACTCGACGCGTCCGCGCTGTGCCGCGCCAAGCGCGTGCACTCCTGCCGTGTTTTATAACCTGACAAACACGAGCGAGGTCCTGTATCACATCTCCTGTTTATTATCATGCCATCGCATCTTTGATGAAACATTTATCAAGCGGTAAGGTTGCCCGCGCCGTGCCTCGTCGCTTGGCTCTTTGTCTCGATTCCGCGAATTATTGCGTCTCTCGCGTGATCCCACCACCGTGAAGCATCAACCATTGTTTAGAATCCATTGATACTCGTCCAGGGCTGGGTTCAGTTGCATCAAATATATCATTTTAGCTTTTAAACAAAGGTAAAATGATATATTGAGTGTATCTGGATATTATTTTTGAACGCATTCTATGAGGGAATTTCTACTACGTTGGATCACGTTAAAATAAAAATTATTTATATTTTCTGGTGCCTAACCTTTTTGTGCCTTCCGTAAATGATGTAGTTTTAGTATATCTATAGCATCGTGCTAATATTCTAGATTATTCTAGAACTTCTAGAAGCATGTCAAACTATCAATTGATATAAATATTTACGATATATATCTGTTGCAGGTGCATACTTAATTAAAGAATACCAAAATGTGGCCGACGCAAAGTAATAATAATAATACAAATACGAATCCTACGTCGAGTGAAAAGAACAATTTACGCACTCTAGGGATGACATCCGCTATCAGTGTAGCTGAACCTAAACCTGTGGACATTTCCAGAACCAACGAATTGAAAGAGGCCCTGAAACCCTATAATGTTTTTGAATCAGAAGAAGAGTTGAATCATAGGATGGAGATTTTAAGGTATATATCTAATAAATTATCCATATTTGTATATTATTTATATATTATTAATAATGAAAGCTATAAAAGTATAGTTTTTAACTGAAGTTTTTTAAATAATTAATATTTCAGAAAGATATGATAAGATTGAAGATATAATTATATAAAAGTTATTTTTCAATAAATCCATTAATACTAATATTTAATGTTTTTTCCTTATATATTTTTTATCAAATAATATATATCTAACTTAATTGATTTTGGATTGATTCAAACCCACTGTAATAAATGCTATTATTAATTATTGAAACTTATTTTTACAGCAAATTAAATGCATTGGTTAAACAATGGATAAGGGATACGAGTATAGCTAGAAATATGCCACCTAATGTAGCCGAACAAGTTGGTGGTAAAATATACACATTTGGTTCATATAGGTTAGGTGTACATCACAAAGGCGCCGATATTGATGCATTATGTGTTGTACCACGTCATATATATAGATCAGATTATTTTACATCCTTTTTTGAATTATTGAAGATGCAGGAAGAAGTTACAGATTTAAGGGTATATAGCTCATGGATATTTAATACATATGTAATATTATATAATTGTATTAAATACTCTTTCCTTTGAGAACTCTAGTTTATGTGATATTAAAAAAAGAGTTCAAGTTTGGGATCAAAATATTTCTGTATCATTTGTATAAAATTAAATTGTTTAATATAGATAATAATTGGATATATGAATTATGTTGATTCTTATAAGTTTTTTTTCACTTTCTTGATTTTGAAACCTTTTATTATTCAATATTGATATATTTATCATATTATAGGCAGTAGAAGAAGCCTTTGTACCGGTGATAAAAATGAACTTTGATGGTATAGAAATTGATATGCTATTTGCAAAGTTAACTCTTAAAGAAATTCCAGATTCAATGGTTAGTAATATCTTTATAAAAGTAGTATTCTAAGAGTTTTATTTTCTATAATAAATTTTTATAATAAAAAAATTTTTATTATATTTAATTGTGTGTAGGATCTCAGGGATGACATGCTACTAAAAAATCTTGATCAAAAGTGTGTCAGAAGTCTCAATGGTTGCAGAGTGACAGACGAAATATTACGTTTAGTACCTAATATAGAAAATTTCAGATTAGCCCTTAGGGCTATAAAATTATGGGCAAAACGTAACATATAGTTATTGTTTTATAATTAATGCACAATACATAAAGTTTATTTATTTTGATATATATATATTTTTTTTTATCTTTAGGACATGGCATATACAGCAATGTCTTAGGTTATCTCGGTGGCGTATCTTGGGCAATGTTAGTTGCGCGAACATGTCAACTTTATCCCAACGCCGTGGCTGCAACTTTAATAGAAAAATTTTTCCTTGTATTCTCTCAATGGAAATGGCCACAACCAGTACTTTTAAAACAACCTGACAATGTTAATCTGGGTTATCCAGTTTGGGATCCAAGAGTAAAAATTAAACATTTTTTATATTTTATAAATTAATGTTGCATATAAATTGCAATATTTTGAAAATAATATTACGAGTAAAATAATAAAATAAAATTTTGTTTGACAAAATTTTGCTTACGTATCTACAAGATTTGTTTAAAATCTTTACTCTTTCTTTTTTTTTTTTCCTTTTCTTTAGGTAAATGTATCAGATAGATATCATCTGATGCCGATAATCACACCTGCATATCCTCAACAAAATTCTACTTTTAATGTATCCGTATCGACCAGAACCATCATGCAAGAAGCGTTTGAAAATGGTTTAGCCATAACCGAAGAGATTATTATGGGTAAAGCAACGTGGGACAAGTTGTTTGAGCCACCAAATTTTTTTGGCAAATACAAGCATTACATTGTATTATTAGCCAAAAGTTTAAGTGCCGAGGATCAACTTGAATGGTGTGGTCTTGTCGAGTCAAAAATACGACACTTAATAGGTAATAGAATATGATGATACATTTATAAGTAACATATATATATTGTTTTTCTTACATAACATTTTATTTCTTTATTTCTAGTACTATTGTACTATTTTTACTTTACATGTAAATTCAAATTAACATAAAATATTAGAAAAATCAAATATTTAATTTAGATGTCTTTAATTCATATGAAATGAACAATGGATTTTTAAATAATAATATTGATGTCTAAAACAAATTGATTTCTTATAAAATAATTGAATTTTTATCTTATTTTATTGTTTTTATATATATATATATATATATATATATATATATGAGATTGTAGATTAAAATACAGAAGCATATGCTAAAATGTAAAATATATGTAGAAAATTAGAAGTATATGCTATACATACAAATCAACAAAGATTAAAAGATAGAATAAATTATAATATTTTTTCAGGAAAGTAAGGAGTATTTGCTAGGCTTTGTCTTTTAATTTGTGTCTTATAATAGTAAAATTAAATATTGTCTTTACATAAATTTTTAGTTAAATTTTTTTATCTTATTTTTTACATATATGTATATATTACTAATAATTCGCGGGTGCCAAATTGGCAAAATCATAACCATTCTCACAGGCATGTTGGAAAGGAATCCTCATATTACTTTGGCACACGTTAATCCGGAGGCGTTCCCACCATTGAACCCCGAATCGGGCAAGCAGTGTTCTATGTGGTTCATCGGCCTGGCTTTTGCTAAGTGTGAAAAGAACGAAAAAAGCGAAAAGGGTGAAAATATCAATGTTGATCTCACATACGACATCAAATCCTTTGTGGATACAGGTATTTTTAAACAAATTAGAATATATGTACAATCGATTGTAAACTTAGAATATATATGACTAAGGATATATTTGTTACAGTTGAAAGACAAGCAGAACAAATAAATATGTTTAAGGAAGGAATGTGGATTGAAGCTAAACATGTAAAAAGAAAGGATTTGCATACTTACGTATCTCCAAGTTTGTTGAAAAAAGAGAGAAAGGTATGAAAAAAAATTCTAATACCTAAATATTAAATATTATTTTTATATTATATATTTATAATTGTATAGCCATGTTATATAATTAAACATTTTTTAAGAGATATACAAATAAACATATTTAAACTATCCAACGCGAATATTTTATAAATTGTTTTAACTAAAATATGCTTTAAGATAATAATTATTTAGATTCAATTACTTACTACATGATGTTTTCTTTTTTATAGGCTTCTAGCAGTGTGCATAGGAATGGCAATATAGCTGGAAATGGAAACAGTGGCAGTGTTTCGCCGCGAAATCAAGGTGATACAAGTGGCAGGAAGAGATTATCAGATCAGACACTTGATGCGATTGGGAAGAAACGACGAATTAATGAGGCGGAAGAGCAAGTAGGTAGTGTACATACCATAAAATGCGCTTGAAGGAAAAAGAAAGTTCTTTTAAAGTCATACAGAATGTACTTATTAATGTTAATATATGTATATGTATTAAATGTGTAGATATGTATCATTTGAATCTTTTTATAGACGGAGAATTCAACGTTAGTGGTTCAATCTTGCGGGGAAGATAGCAATTCTGGCTTCAGTATGGATGAATATAAACAAAATCTATCAACTAATAAGGACGTAAGACATTGTACATATAATAATCTTTATATAACAGGATAAAATAATTAAACATTTGAAAATGAAACATAGTAAGTGAAAAATTTATCACAAAATTTCTCTTCATTCTTCTGTCTCTCACCAGGTAGAGGTAAAAAAGGATAAACATATAATACGTAATAATTTTAATTATGTATATGCTTTATTACTTAATAATAATTATTATTACTTAATAATCGTCTATTGGTATATTTTGTTTTGCTTATGCTCAATACAGAATTTTAGAAGCATTACACTTAGAAATGTAAGTGTTACCAGTAGCAATCTTTTTTTATTTTGTGATTCTGAAAAAGAATTCTTAGATCTGAAAAATAAGAAAACTAATGCGCCAAACAGCAAATAAATATTAAATAGTTTTTTCATTTAAATAAGATTTTTAATTGCAACATGAATTCCAACGGACGAAAATGTGAAAACTTGAGATTTTATTGGTGACAATCAATATTATGATTCATTCTTCCTTGATGTACATTTGTTTGTCTAGGAAGGACCTACTGGTGCAACTACAGTAGCTCAGGAAGGATTTGTCTGCACTTGATGATCATCGTGGGATTACTATCTTACTTGAATCCATTGATGCTCCTCTGGATCATCTAGACTGTAAACATTTCTCATGCAACCATCCACTGCCCACTGTAAGTCCTTCGTTTCGTAAATGCAAAAGCGTCACGCAATGGTGGAAGCTATCCAGGTGGAATCAATCAATTGATGACAATTTCTGTGTTTATGTGAGACATAACTAATAGTATTTATAAAAAGAAAAAAACATCGACAGTCAATGGGAACAATTACGCTGAAAATTTATGCGATTGTGCCAGTGTCTGTGATGTCATTTATATCACCATAATAATAGTTTTGAGATACATAGCGAAAAGAATTTGCCATCGTGAAGGATAAATCTATTTCACTTGGAAACAAAATAATAACCATACTTTTTATATTTCCTTTTTGTATATATCGTTTACATTATTCTTTTTTTTATCGATAAATACTTGAACAAGAAGCTTAAGATTTGATAATACATGATGTAACATAATTTTACATAATTTACATGACGAACGGGAATAGTTTGATCGAGAAAATTACATGTATGGAAATTTTCGTATTTGCGAATGTTTCCACATGTTAGAAAAAAAAATAAAAATAAATTATATTCTTATATAAAGTGCATTTTTATAATGCATCGTGGAATATATATATGCTTTAAAAATGCATATGTGTACGATTTAATAGTAAGTAGCTCTGATATACTTTAATACACGTAATAACGCAAGTCACGTGCCGTGATTTGCCTGCTTAGGGACTTGCAAACAGTACTGTTTTAATACGCTTTACTGTTTGTAGTAGATATGAACTATTATTTACACGCGATACTTAATGTTGCTAAGGATAAGGTGTTCCATGCAAGTTGCGGAATAGAATATTATTTGCTCTCGAAGCTTACCATTGTATGCATAAAGAAAAACGTTAATGGTTTGCTCGATCATCTTTCACTATATATGACTGTAATGCAATCGATAATATAATTGCATTACAAAAGTCACCGACACTGGCATAAATCTGAGGATGTTTCATTTACAGAGAATTTATGGTAATAGTCATTTTAGGTAATAGTCATTTTAAAAAAATAATAGATAAATTTTAGAAAAAACATTTGCAAATGAAACATCCCAAATAAGCCATTGACTATCTTATTGACGATTATGTTGCGTAAAACAGTTTCGTACGGAGCCGTCTTTTAGTTTTTGCGCAGAAACAAACGTTATAGCTTTAACGAATTAGAAACGGGCTGACACTTGGATGATTGAAACCACCTGTCACCAATCGGTGAGTTTTTTCAGGTGTTCAACTGCCTTCGTTCCCAATCAACGGCTCTGATCCTTGATCCTAATTCCGATCCTAATTCCTTACTCTCACAGCCTCAATTCGTGTGTTAAAGGCAGTCCACTGATTGTATGCTACAAGGTATTTGATGTTCATTCTTTCATGCTTGTAAGCAAATCTTGCAAATACCGCAGTGTACGCAGAAACCAGGTACTTGCAAAGTGCAAACATTTAACAAATTTAAAACGCAATTTGCATCAGCATTGAAAAATACAAGAAATATCTTTTCCATGATATCTTTTTTTTCTCTTCACATAACCGCTAGCATTATTATAATGTAATTTTTATTATAATACGATATTTAGAATTAAATAATCATCGTTGATTAAAATTTAAGTTTAACGTTTTTGATTCTTGTACTTTGCAAGTGCCATGATTCGATATTCAGTGATTAGGAATCATTCCGTTACTTGTACATATTTGTAGATGCGCTGAAGGTTTCACTCTTTCAGGACTTGTCTTGCCGAGTCATTTTATTTATTGATATACGTTTCCCTGCGTATTAAAAAAGCAGTAACACTGCTTCTTAATTTCTTTGCTTTTTCATAGATTCACGCTAATTTTGCTTGAGTCTGGAATTGAGGTATATTACGGTACCGTGCAAGAAAGATTAGGCCAGTTGATTTGTTCGATCATAAATCCTTCCGCTTTCCATTTGTATTCATATTAAGATAACATAACTAAAAACGCGATACAATAATTTCTTTAAATAATTAAACAATGCAATTTGCAGCAAATTTATGTAGATACAGTCACACAAGTGCATCTGATTTGTTATTATCACACGGTACTATGGATAACTATAAATTTATTTCGTAATAATTAATATTATAATTGTTCTTCTTTATAGATCCTGTGAAGAGAGAAAATAGATATTTCATTTTATCAAATCATGATTTAAAAATTATTTCATTCGCAACGCACAGGTAAAGTCAGATGGATTCGTGCGGAAATGAGGTCGGTTCCTTGCTTAAAAATATTATCTTAATTTTCCAACATTTTTAGTCGCAGTTTTCTCTCAAAATTAAATTTATATAAAACAATATTTTTTAATAAAATACGTAAACATATGCATAATATTATTACAATACTCATATGATAACAATTCTGGAATTAAATGAGTGTCATTCATCTGTCTAAAAGTTCTTTGTAATTATATGAGAAAATTTTAATATGTTATAAAATTTAATCATTCTTAATCATCATCGTATCATTAAAATATAAGATATCTTTTGTTATGTAAAAAATAGCTTTGGTCTTATATTTTTCTAAATAATTGCTTGCCTAATCTTATTTGCTAGATTCAGAATATCTTGTGTGCGAGATCCAAATATTTTAATAAAAGGGATTTTTACGCACTATTGGAAGGAAATTATTTTGTTTATGCATACATGTATTTCTTTTATTAACATCTTTTTTTTCTTGTATAATTAATATAATTTTCTTGTATAAATATGAAGTTAAGTTTATGCAGCTGATACACTTAGAACTTCTATTCAACGACAAAAAAACATGTTGCATTAATAATCTTCAATAAATTGAACATTTATTTATTTTATTATGTAATTCATTAACATTTAACAGTATGTGAATATATAGTGTTAAATATTAATGATTAATATGATTATAAATATATTTATATGCTTGAATATAAATATATATTTATATGCAAGCATATTTATATACATATAATTAAGAAAAATTCAATGTATGGGAACAAATATTTGTGTGTTTTTAGCATAGAACAAATTAAATTCTGTAAAGTATATTAATTATAGTGCAATACGTTATTTTTTTTTTGTCACGTACAGAGCTTCTAGTTAAAATGATGAATCGAGAACGCGAATTTAATCTTACATAGCATCATGCGATAAAATGTGAAAAGGATGCTATCTGATTATTAAATCATATAATTGTGAAATAACAGTCCAGACGTGATGATTTCTAGAAAAGGACATGAAGATTTTTATATAAATTTCCTCTTCAACAAATTTGGAATAATATAATTTCTCAAATATTAGTTTCTCCAATTTTCAAAATATAATTCAAACTATATATAACACTCAAGTTACTCTCTGTGTGATTATGCTGTTATTAATGTCATTATCCACAGTTAACACCGAGCTTTTATCACTATTGTTCGCATATTTCAAGTCCACTTTCATGAATTTTTCATCGATGAACAATAATATTTCAATATTGCAAGATCAAAAGGATGCACGCGCGCGTATCACCAGATTCTTGTAAAGCTTTCGAATCTTCCGCATTTCATCACAATAGTATCTCATTCAATAGTATCGGCTTTCCCTGCTGTCGAGCACTCTAGTTGCACTAATTCCTCTGATCATTCATTACAGCACTCGTCTCAATCCGTTGAACTTGCTAATCGTCCGTATATTCCCGAATCGTTAATCGTCGCTATCTCCTAAGTTTGAAGATTCACGAGACTCATCATATCACATACTTTGCACAATTTGAATTTTAAGTGTGCAATAAGAAACATGGATCATTGTCGTCACGATTGTGCTAGTAGAAAAAGGAGGTACTTGTCGGCCGAAAAAGGAGGCCAAGGATCGAGCAGTGAACATCAATTTTATCCTTGTACGCTAAATCCTATCGGCTATTGATTCTCTATTGATTCGAGGCTGTCATGCGTCCGATTCGTACCTCTTTCTCTCTCTCCCCCCCTCCTCTCCTTCTCTTTCTATTTCGGAAATAGCTAGACATGTCTATAGCACAATTCTCAATTCTCACGTTAGTCTCTCCTTATCTCCTGAAAACCACCATCGTTGGCCGACGTGGGCATCTTGCAATTTCGATAATACGGCAAGGGAATAACAGGAAGGGAAACGCTACATCTCTCATCCGCAATCTTATCTTTTATTTATGCATAGAAAAGGAAGGGTGAGAAAACACGAGACGGGAAAATGGGAAATACGCTGAAGGAAAGGAAATAAGACCGGGCGCGAGGGATTTGTGTCGCGAAATCGATTGACTCGCGCTTATGTGCGGGTCGCACTTAAGATATTACGTCTCTCACGTCACGTCCAATCTTTAATATGAATAGAAAATATGATGCATTCGATTCACCGAATTCGCAAACGAAACGTTGAGATGCGTTAGAAGTGTGGGTTCATGGGTTTGTTTACATGAACGATCATAGAAAAAGCCTGTTTCGATAAATTACTGTAGGATAAATTGCGACACATTCCTGCAAGCGATCGCGTACCGGTTCCACGAGATACCCCCGCGAGATACGCTTTCTCTCCATCTTTCTCGCAAATACCATTTCGTTCTCGGAATATTCTCAAGAAAAATTCGAAACTGAATGCGAATATCCTGCGAGCGTGTGCAAAAAAAAAAAAAAACACGAATGCTGCGCATACGCGCGCGATATCACGGATTATTCGATCCGTTGCGCACCCATAATCGGCAATAGCATAAACCGGGAAAAAGATAAGAGATACGACGGCAAGGACATGCATAATTTGTATCCTCGAACATTGTACACTCTGTATTTCTCCTGAATAAACGGAAATAAATTTTTCTTTCAACTCCTTCAGCCAAAAAGGGTGCACGCTGATGATCACGTTAAGACGAAACGATGCAGGAACATGTGTGACATCGAATTGAGTGAAATTGCTTTCGAATCACGTGTGGTCGTTTCCTCTTGTCGCGATCGGCAGATTTTTAAATATATCCCCAGCAGATTTTTCAATATATCCCCCCCATCCGAAATTTTATAACAATTACAATCCGTGCAGCTAATTTGAGCTAAATCTTGATATTTCATTATTATTTTTTGTTTGAATGACAAATCTTACAATTGTTTTTGTCAGTCGTCAATAAATTATTGTCGAGCGAATTATAATAAATATCCGTTCAATTCATTACATATCGTCTATATATAAGTACTTTTAAAATACGAATTAATTAAAATTTGAAATAATATAATTCAATTATAACAATAAGATTTATGTATCGATGATACAGGTAATAAATTGTGAAGACATGTATTGACAACTGAAGTAATATCAATACATAAGAAAAATACACTAATGACGATGATATTTTTTTAAAATAAGCATCTTTAACTTTTGCGAAAGGTAAGTATTATTTATGTCTTCTCAGATCGTTAATAACCCATTCCCAATTTGAACTACGTAATAGGTCTTAAAATTGAAAGGTACACCATGGCTTTTATAATCTATAACAAAACATAACTACATCATATCACATCCTCTTGCATCACATTCTCCTTGCAATTTAAATGAATCAAAAACACAAGGTAATCACTCATGAAATAATTATAATTGTTCCATTAGAAACATTCATGAGGATTGTCGAAATTACGATATCAAATGTTTCTATAGAAAAGACATAAAACTGCCCAGCCGTTAAACATAACGGCTTTTGCTATTCGACAATGCATATCATTAAAAAACGTATTGATTCTATTGGCATTTCATATCATTTTGTAAAATAACACGCCTCGTCTGAAGTTGTATTCTATAAATATGGTATATTAAATCAATTTTTTTTTTTTTCATTAAACAATATTTTAGTATATGGAATGAAGATATTAATTAAAATTAGCAACAACAAACAGAATTTGTGCAAACAGAATGTTAGTTGATTTGTTTAAATAACTACAATTTTAGCCATCTTTTTAGCCAACAAGTTTCTTTAAATACTAAATTTTATGTAAATATTTCTAAATTTCTGTAATTACTAAACTTTAAATCAAAATTGCTAAATTATTATTTAAAAATCCTAAATATTTATATAAGATATTTACTGGATAAAATATAGCTGACAATTGATTTTAGATGAAACAACACTGTTAGGAATGACGTAATAAATAATGTTGAAATTATATTGTACATTATATTGCATCATTTTGCATTTCTCGATGGAATTACGATAAAGTCCTTCATATTTTTTCTCATGACTATCAACAACGACAATACTTGATCTCTTTTCGAAACATTACGTTTTTCAATATAATTAATATGCTCGGAAAGGCAAAAAGTGGTGTATCTTATTAACATGTCGATATTAATATATATA